CCCCAAAACCCCAAAACCCCAAAACCCCAAAACCCCTATACTCTATGATGTTATAGAAAGCTCTATTTACATTAAAAACCCGCATAATAGGAGGAAATGAGTTAACGAATAGATCTTGGAGAGCAGGTGGAGGAAGGGTTGTTAGGAATGGGATGGGGGTTAGGAGGTGCTGTTGACTAGGACTTTGCAGTTGGGCTTTTGGTGGGGTTGGTGGGGAGATTTGATGCAATTCTGTAAGTCGGTTTTCTAGGGGAATGTTAGGGATTGGGAGGGAGATTGGGACTTACGTCTACTTCTCAGACTAGTTGGAGAGAGGGGGTTGAAGATCAGTTTGCTAGCTCGTTTAGAGAAATTTGGAAGTTGAAGCTTAGGTTTATCTTGCTGTCAGAGGAGTTTAAGTTTTGGTTTTGTGATTCTAGAAATTTGTTTATTCTATGCTTTTTCCGATCTTCCATGTCATCTTCAACGCAAATCATATTTTCAGGGATTTGCTGGACTGTATCGTCAGTTTTTACAGTGCAGTTAAAATAGTTATCTTCTTTTTTATCCCAGTCACTAAAAATGTCTACCTTACTCTTATTATTTTGAAGATCATCTTTAACTTCTTCAGAAAGTGAAGGCTCCAACTCGACAATTTTGTCAATAATTTCATCAATCGTGATCCGATTAATTATATTTCTTTTTAACAGCATCAAGATCAATTTATTTAGTTCGACCGAGTAACAATCAGGTAAAGGATCTACTTGCTTTTGATGAAATATATTTTTCTTCAGACCTTCAGCATTTCTTCCCTTGAAAGGTACTGTAAAAGTGCAAAGCTCATACATTGTGACTCCCATTGACCAAATGTCAGCTTTGGAATTGTATTTCCTCATAAAAACTTCTGGAGCAATATAGTATGGCGATCCTGCTAGAGTAGTATTCAACTGAATAGACTCATTAATAATCTTGCTGACTCCAAAATCTCCAATCTTGATCAGCCCATCCTTGAACATAAAGATATTATCGGGCTTGATGTCCCTGTGAATGATCTTCTTGTCATGAATATGTTTGATTCCCTTGCAAATTTGCAAAAAGATACTATAGATCATCTTCTCGCTTAGATATTTAGGCTCGCCGTCAATGTTCTTATTCTTCTTAATCAAGTTGGCTAGACTTCCTTCAGGAGCATATTCCATCTTGATCCATAATTCCTCAGTAATTCTTCTTGGGAGATTGTCACTACGATTGCCTCTTGATTTCTTCTTTTTCGAGAAGAATTTAGCTCCATGATACTTAATGATATTAGGATGGTTTCACTTGGCTAGATGAGTTAGGAGAAGGCTAGCTTACAGAGAAGAATGCACTCATTTTTCATATCAGTTTTCTCCTGTACACAACCAGGGTTCTCCACTTTCATCTTCTTGATGACAACCTGTTCGGAAGTCTTAAGGTCTTTGTAGAGGTATACTCTGCATGTTTTAGTTTCTATTGTTGAGACTTTGAATAGCTTACCTCATAATTTCTTGACCTTCTTCATTGAGTCTCTGATGCTATCTCTCATAGTGTTAATAGAACTGATGGTTTCCATAAGTGTTTATTACAACGATTTTTAATTGAAATAAAAATTAATTTGTGCAATTTTCAGCAATGTTTTAGTTAAATGGGGTTTTGGGGTTTTGGGGTTTTGGGGTTTTGGGG